TATTTTTAGAGAGAGGGGATAGTAAGGAGAAAGAGAGAAACAATGTGTGGTTGTCTCTCATGTGCCCCCTACTGGGGTCCTGGCCAGAAACCCAGGCATGTGCTGTGGCAGGGAATCAAACCAGCGACTCTTTGGTTTGCAGGCCGGCCCTCAATCTACTGAGCCACACCAGCCAGGGATTATAAAATATATTTTTAATCATGTCAGTTTAGCTTGAATCTCACAAGTGACAAACTAGACTTTTCAGCAAATAAAAGGAGGTGTTATACTGGCTGTCCATATGTTGCTGCTCATACCCACGCCATTTCTCCAAAATACAAATGATTTTTTCAAAAGAATTTAATTCTTTTCTTCTGTTTTGTTTATGTTTCTTCTGATATCATCCTGTGTGCACAGTGATTTTTTCTGTATACTAAGAATAAATGAAATGTATATTCTCTATCTTTACATTTTTTTAAAGATTTTATTTATTTACCTTTAGAGGGGAAGGGAAGGAGAGAGGGAGAGAAACATCAATGTATGGTTGCCTGGGAATTGGCCTGCAGGGAACTGGTCTGCAACCCAGGCATGTGCTCATGGGAATCGAACCGCGATTGTCTGGTTCGCAGGCCCATGCTCAATCCACTGAGCTACACCAGCCAGGGTATCTTTACATTTTTTTTGAAGCATGAAAAGTTATAGTGACTTTAATGTATAACATACATTTATAATTACAGTCATCCCCCCTTATCCATGGGGCTTACATACCAAGACTCCCAGTGGATGTCTGAAATTGCAGGTAGTACTGGAAACTATACATATTATGTATTTTTCCTATGCATACATAGCTATTATAAAGTTTAATTGATAAATTAGGTACTGTAAGATTATTAATAACAATAACTAGTGGTAATATAGAACAGTTATAACAATATACTATGATGAAAGTTATGAGAATGTGGCAATATTAACTAAAATAAGAGTTATTTTTAACACAACAGTGTGGTACCATGACCGTCGATAGGGTAACTTAGCTGCTGAGTAACAGGCACGATTCAAATCCCTTGTATTCTTTGTTCCCTGTATGGGATGGATACAGTGGGCAAAGGCATGACTCAAGTCCCAGGCTGGACAGAATGAGACAGTGACATGTCATCACACTACTCAGAATGGCACCCAATTTAAAATTTATGAATTGTTCATTTCTGGAATGTTCCATTTGAAGTTTTCAGACCACAGTTGCCTATGGGTAACTGAAACCTTGAAAAGTGCATTTGAGGATAACAGGGACTACTCTATTAGATTTAATTAGTGTATAATACTGCAGCTAATATGCTTAATGCCTTCTATTCATTTCATGAAAAGTATCAAATGTTAAATGCTAAACAATAATATAAAAACCATTAAAATGAGCATTCTTCATTGATGACTATATTAGCTTTTTAAAAATTTTATTGACTATGCCATTACAGTTGTTCTATTCCCCCCTTCATTCCCCTTCCCCCAGGACCCCCCGTCCCCACCATTCCCCCCCTTTAGTTTATGACCATGTGTCTCAAGTTCTTTAGATTCTATATTTCCCTTGCTATTCTTGCCCCCCCATCTATTTTCTATCTACTGTCTATGCTACTTATTTTCTGTACCTTCTCCCCCCTTCTCCTCCTCCCACTCCCCTGTTGCTAACCCTCCATGTGATCTTCATTTCTGTGGTTCTGCTCCTGATCTAGCTATCCTCTTAGTTTGCTTTTGTTTTAGGTGTGGTTGTTAATAACTGTGAGTTTGCTGTCCTTTCACTGTTCATCTTTTTTATCTTCTTTTTTTTCTTAGATAAGTCCCTTTCACATTTCATATAACAAGGGCTTGGTGATAATGAACTCCTTGAGCTTGATCTTATCTGAGAAGCACTTTATTTGTCCTTCCATTCTAAATGAAAGTTTTGCTGGATAGAGTAATCTTGATTGTCGGTGTTTGGATTTCATGACTTGGAATACTTCTTTCCAGTCCCTTCTTGCCTGTAACGTCTCTTTTGAGAAATGCGCTGACAGTCTGATGGGAACTCCTTTATAGGTGACTGTCCCCTTATCTCTTGCTGCTTCTAGGATTCTCTCTTTAATCTTGGCTAATGTAATGATGATGTGCCTTGGTGTGTTCCTTCTTGGGTCTACCTTCTTTGGGACTCTCTGAGCTTCCTGGATTTCCTGGTAGTCTATTGCTTTTGCCAGATTGGGGAAATTCTCCTTTAGTATTTGTTCAAATAAGTTTTCCACTGGTGGCTGTTCCTTTCCCCCTTCTCGTACCCCTGTAATTCAAATGTTGGAGCGTTTAAAGATGTCCTGGAGGTTCCTAAGTCTCTCCTCATTTTTTCGAATTCTTCTTTCTTCATATTTTCCTGTTTGGTCATTTTTTTCTTCCTTCTGGTTCACTCTCTTGATTTGAGTCCCAGTTTCCTTTTCATCACTATTGGTTTCCTGTGCAATTCCCTTCATTTCAATTAGTTTAGCCTTCACATGTTCCTCTAATTTGTGACTAAAATCAACCAGTTCTATGAGCATCCTGATGACCAGTGTTTTGAACTGTGCATCTGAAAGTTTTGCTATTTCTTCATCACTTAGAGTTATGGGCTCTGGGGCTTTGAGATCTTCTTGAGCCATTTTTGGTCTGTTCGCACCCATTAAGTATGAGGAGCAGAGCCTTAGGTGTTCACCAGGGTGGGGACGCCCAGGTCACTGTTTTGTGATGCTGCATGTGGGGGTGGGGTCAGATTGGGGAAATGGCGGCCCCCTCTGCTGCCTCCCTTGGCTGGGGCCTGCTTGGTCCTGTCTCATCGCCCACTCCCTCGCCAGTCTATCTGGGAACGAATGTGAATGCGTGAGCACAGTCAACCTGCCGCCCTGCACCCTCGCTGGGTCCGCCAGTCGCTCACTGGGTCCGCCCTTTGCAACCCCACGCCTGGGATCTGTACGCCTGGGATCTGTGCGCCTGAGTCTGTCTGACCGAGTTTTCCTGTGCAACCCCTCTCTGCCAGCTGCTGGCTTCACCCCCCCTACCAGTCAGGCTAAAGCATTCGTTGTTATCAGACTTCTGAAAAGTTCAATTTTCTGTGTTCTGGCTATGTTTTCTGTTGCTAATGTTCGGTTGTCTCTAAACTTGGTTGTGTGAGAAAACACGGCATCTGCACCTATGCCTCCATCTTGGTGGAAGTCCTATATTAGCTTTTTATTGCTTCTGTAACAAATTATGACAAATTTAATGGCTTAAAACAATGCACTTTTATCATCTTACAGTTCTGCAGGTCAGATGTCTGACACTAGCATTGCTGAGCTAAAATCAAGGTGTTGGCAAAATCTGTTTTCTTGCCTTTTCTGCCTTTCATTTATTTATTTATTAAGATTTTTATTTATTTGTTTATGTTTAGAGGGGAAGGAAAGGAGAGAGGGAGAGAAATATCAGTGTATGGTTGCCTCTTGTGCGTCCCCTGCTGGGAACTGGCCTGCAACCCAGGCATGTGCCCTAACTGGGAATCAAATGGCAATCCTCTGGTTCACAGGCCCATGCTCAATCCACTGAGCTACACCAGCCAGGGCCCTTTTCTGCCTTTTAGAGTCCACTCGTATTTCTTGGCTCATGGTTCCCTTCCTCAAAGCCATCAATGTTGCATCTCTCTGATTCCTCTTAATAATCCTATCTCCCTCTGACCTCCCCTTTCTGCTTTCAAGATAATTCAGTGTAATTTCTCTACCTCAACATTCTCAGTCACATCTTAAAAGTTCACTGTGCCATATGAAGTGATATATTCACAGGTTTCAGCTATTAGGAGGGAGAGTGGACATCTTGGGGTGGGGGGCTTTATTCTGCCTGCTACAAAGACAGACAATGCAAAATGTTAACTTCTACTAATGAAATAATAACCTTTAACTAATGCTATTACTTTTGATTTAAACAAACAGTTTTTCTTTAGGGGATTTATAAATTTGGGGCCACTCAGGCAAAATTGATGTGAAAAGGTACATGTACATATTGACAAACTAATTCTTAACATTGTGAGGATTAGCATATTGATGTAAATGTAGATCATTAGACAAAATATTTAACTTAAGAAATTTATTACGGATGAATTGAATATGTTATAGGAAAAAAAACATTGTCCATTCCAGTGCATCTATCTCCCAAGAACATTTATTGCATATATGCATAAACACCATAATTTGGTACTTTTATTGATCAAATTAGCTGAATGGTTCTCAGATTTATCCATCAATTTTTGGTGCATAAGCACAGTGAACAACTTCAGACTTTTTGTAGCAATGTTCATAATTACGGAGCTCTCGAAGGCCATAACAGTTACTATAGACATATATAAAAATATTTTATTTTTGTTCAGATTCATTATTTCAAACTAAAGAATCTAAACAATACACATACTGGAGAAATGATATTGCAATAAGACAGTTGGTCTTAATGTTACTTTGGAAAACACATTATTGTGTCCAAATCATTTTTTGGTCAGAAGTTAACACAAATTCTTAACTTTTGATAGGTGGCAGCTATATTAAATCCATATTTTTGCCTGTGCGGAAAGACTAAATATGTATTTGTGAGTTTCATTCCAGAGTTTTCAAGCATTTAACTTGGAGAGATCTGCTTCTTGCTTAGAGAGTAAGATGCCCCTCCAGATGTTGGCATGAACTTTTTATCAGTGTAAGAGCTTACAATACAATAAGCTTCACCACTTACCTTTACGCAAATCCTTTATGCGTATTCTAGGAAAGGAAATGGAAACTAACTCTTCATGAGCCTTTACCACATATGTGCCATGGCATTGAGCTCTTTTACTTTCTTCTCTTATTTAACTCTCATGATATTCCATTCATTTCACCAAAAAAAAAGGCTTTTGTCTAAAGATAGGTGTTGAAGACCAGGTATTGTGGATGTGCGTTCTTTCAGGATAAGCAAGAGGTCAGCATGTCCAATGTTCTGGGCTCAACCACCAGGAAAATCTTTTGTGTTTTCTTCTGTGTCAGGAGCGGATCCCAGAGAGTCCTTCTCCTGCTCCATCCCTGGAAGAGAGTCATCGCCCTGGGAGCCAGACCTCCTCCCACCCCAGCAGCAGCGTGTCCAGCTCTCCCTCTCAGATGGACCCCCATTCAGACAGAATGGGTGAGTATCTCACCTACAACAAGGAATTTAAAGCTACTCAGTCAGGAAATCCTTCCTTAGGCCACAGAGGGGGGAAGGAAACGAAGCTGGAGGAGCTGATGACTCTTTAGTGTATATACATGGCCTTTGGAAGTGGTCCTTTTTTTAAATTGCTGAAGCAATTTGAATAACCAAATGAAACTTAAAATGTTAGCAGTTTGTTCTGTGGAAGGGCCTTGATTTATGCTATCACTGGATGTGGGAATAATGTGATGGCATTTTTGTAGGATACGTATTAGTTCAATATGTTGGTACTTAACAGCTAGTGTGGTACAATACACTTGTTATATTCAACGACTCCTTTAAAGATGGAAGATAAAATGTCCTTTAGGCAGCTGATGATTTGAGCGATTAAAAAGTGAATCAATATATGATTTGTTACAATCTCAAATTTTGGATCACAAACATTTGATATGCTTTTCCCTACACTTATTTTTCATTGTATCAGAAATATTATACCATAAACACAATTTCAGAAATATGACATTACTTTTAGGGATGTGGCATATTGGAAATGAATCTAGCCATAATTCTGGCACTAACTAGCCAGAATATCTCCAGTATGTCACTTAACCACCATGAATTTCTTCACCTAATATAAAAATAAGTACTGTCTTGCCTAAGACACTGGATTTTTGTCAGGTCAAATGAAATAATATGTGGAAAAACACTGCAGAAGTTTCAAGTGCTGAGGAAATGTGAGATAAAAATACTAGTTTTCTCTGTGGCTTTCCCTTGATTGTTTATCATCTTCTGGTGTCTGATCCCACCCCGGTATACAGACGTTACTAAGTGCATTCATTCAGTGGCAACGGATTCTGATTTAGTATATAATTACTAACCATGTGAGCTAGGTAAAACTTTTGTTCATCTCCTGTGCCTACACAATGCAGTTTCCTAAGTGTCTATTTCCTTTAGGGAAAAGAGTTATGCTCCTCTTTCTGTGTAACTATAGGCACATTCTTTATTTGAACTATAAATTTTGACACTTCACATAATGATTGCTTCAAGCCTCTCCAAACCAGTGTTGTTGTTGTTTTGATAGGAACTGAGGAATAAGGGAGGGTGATTCTGAATTTGTGCTGTGAAAGGGTGAATATGATTTCCCTCTTATGGAAATTCATCCAGGTCTCACTTAGCCTGTCAACATTCCATATTGTTTATGGCTTTTAGCATCCTAGTGAGCTCAGAGTGTCTCAAAGCCGGCTCCCCATTGTAATCAGCTGTGGAGCATTCACAAATCTGGATGCCCAGGTGCATGCTAAGAGTCTGGCACAGAGCATGGCAGGATGTTTTGTTTTGCTTTTATTGTGCAGCCATAGTTAAGGACTGCTGAGCTAGAACTGGAGACTAATGGCCTTAATGAGTAAGTTTAATTCCTGGATGGGTCAACGGTGGTCTTCTAGCTTTACTGTTCTGTAGACAGTGACTACCTGTTCGATCCATGTTGTGTGCAACTTATAGGAGAGACTCTGAGCAAGACAAACAGGTACAGCTGGGTGACCATCGATAAATCAAGAAAGAAAACCCCACGTTCTTCTGTGAAGACACTCTTTATTTGGATGAGTATCTACGAAGAGAGGAAGGGGAGAGAACTTGTTATTGAGTCAGGGCAGAGTACATAGGGAAATGCACTCTGTGACAGTAACTCAGAGCTAAGATAATGGTGTCTTACACTTAGAAGTAAAATCAAGTATGTCCAAAAGAATATAATATTTTAAAAACTCTTGACAATATAAGACATTTCTAATTCCCCTGGCAGTAACTAGGCTCTCTATCACGTTCCTCAATTGTCCAAGGAAATAATGAAATTGTCCAGAAATGAACACGTTTTGATGATTTTTAGAGTGACCATATTTTATATACAGAACTATATAGTGTTTTAATAAAATGTAACTACAGAAAGTTAAATGCTAAACTGTGAAAATTGGCATGATTTTCCTCTTTCAATATAAAAATTGGGGGCAGAAATGTATGTTGTATCTAGTAATTTTACTATATATATGTACAAAAACTCTATAAAGTGACATGATGCATAATTATTTTAAATTTATAGACTTAAGTGGTAAATTTTCTTCAGAAGCATTTTGGGAAATAGATTATTAATTATAGAGGGGAAATATAATTTACATATACATTTCTTTTAAATATATTTAAAATTAATGAAAGGACCTGGCTGGTGTAGCTCAGTGGATTGAGCACGGACCTGCGATCCAGACAATCGCAGTTTGATTCCCAGTCAGGGCACATGCCTGGGTTGCAGGCCAGTTCCCTGCAGGCTGGTTCTCTGCAGGCCAGTTCCCTGCAGGGGACGCACAAAAGGCAACCGTACACTGATGTTTCTCTCCCTCTCTCCTTCCCTTCCCCTCTAAAGATAAATAAATAAAATCTTTAAAAAAAAGAAAAAAAAGAAAGGAATTATGGTGGCAATTATATAAATATTATATACATATCATATAATTTTCCAAAATGTATTGAGAATATAAGACATTTGTAATTCCCTTATTAGTAACTAGCCTCTCAATCACATTCCACAATTGTCCAAGCACAAATTTTTGTGTTTCAGAATTGTATAAAGTTGATGTTAGTTGTTTATTTAAAATATTTTGTTTATTTATTTTTAGAGAGAGGGTAAAGGAGGGAAAAAGAGAGGGAGAGAAACATCAATGTGTGGTTGCCTCTTTAGAGCGCCCCCTACTGGGGACCTGGCCCACAACCTAGTTATGTGCCCTGACTGGGAATCAAACCAGTAGTCCTTTCATTCACAGGCCAACACTCAACCACTGAGCCACACCAGCCAGGGCTAATGTTAGTTGTTATTGAAATAAAATAGTTATTTCTCTGATTCTTTTTTTGCCTTTCTTTTGAGTGATTTGCAAGAAAATTACTGTTACATCTCTTATTTACAGTTATGATGTCTGGCAATAGAGAGGAACTTATTGTTGACCAGGATAATGGGCCAACCATCAAAAAATTCCAAAGGGATAATAGAGGTAAAATGATTTTTGCTTATTTGATATACATATAAAGATCAGATACTAACTTAATTCACATCCCAGTATATTGCATTCATTTTCCTAAGTCAGACTAGATCCGTAATGGCTTTAGATAAATTATTTTATTAGTAAAAAATGTTATTGATCGGAAGCTTGTTTATTCTATGTTATAAATTCCATAATCAGGCTGAAGTTTGTTTGGGCCTGTGGTTGGAAACATAACCCTAAAGCTCTTTTATCACCCCAGTCAGAGACATGTGAGTCTTTCTTTTAAATTGTACATGTGCTTTGTTAACTATTTTTAAATGCCTCACAATTGGATGATTATGTCTGAAAAACTGAGTTACTGTCATGAAAGATATTCCCCTCAATCCCCAAAAGTGATTTTAAAAGCTAATTTGGACATTTCAAAGGCAAGTTTAGCAAGGTACTTCAATCAAGTATATGACACCAATCTGGCTTTTGATCCACTTGAGGTACAGCTCTTTCTAAGGGTATCTGTCTAAAGAAGGTAGGGAAAGTATGAATTTCAAAGTCATGCCATCCTCATATGAAAGCTGAGTGCACTTTGCTTAAAAGGCTGCAAAGGTAAGGCAAGGGGAAAATACATCGGTATACTTCAAAATATTTTTTAAAATATACCAAACAATCATCAAATGGTTGTAAGCACATTATAAGTTATGCATTCTGACTGCCACTGCCAGTTAGACAGTGACTCTAAGCAAAAGAACATAAACTAACACGGTATCTATCTGGTCATCAAATGGTCTATATGTACTTCAGTCTCTGGTATTTTTTCTATCTCTACTGAAGATTCTCATTGCATATATAAAAATGTATATTCATATACAAATACATATTTATATGCATTGTATATAAACATGTAACGCACTACATATATCACACACATGCAATATAAACATGATACACATATGCATATTACATATATGTATTACATATAAATATAATGTGTAATATGCATAAATATACAATCATAAATATATGTACTACACACATAAATTATAATACATATGTATATGCAATACATATATAACACATATATCATATAATAAATATATAATAATACAAATATATGTGATATATAAATATAAATATGTAACACATATAAATAAATCATGTATTTATATATTATATTTATATTATACATTTACATATAATATAAATATATAAATGTATATTACATTTATATATTATTTTATATTATATAAATATATTTTGTATTTTATATAATACATTTATATATCATATATTTTATATAATATTTGATATTACATGAATATATGTTGTATATAAATATATATTTATGTGTAAATATAAATATATATAAACTTATATATGTATAAAAGACTTAATGAACTGAAGAGTTAATAGAGAAAATTTTCTTTCTTCTCTAGACTGAGCTTACTTCCTAATAAACTTGATGAACATTTTAGTTAGAATTTGGAATACTATATAATTTTAATTTCATTGATCCATGGTTGGTTTCCTTGCACATGTTTAAATATTTTATTTTATTTCATATAAAATTTTATATAAATTTTAAATCTACTTTTACCATTTGGGGCTCCGAGATATAAATGATTCATTTCAGACTGGTCAGATCGGAAGAAGTCAAGTTCGGTATGTGAAACTACCCAGACTCTTACTTGGGTAATGAAATTCTAGTTAAAGATGAAAACTCATTCATCACCTGACAACAATTGGTTCCTGAGACTTCTTTTCCACCTAAAGGACAGTTTGGGAGTAAAGCGGCTTTTCTAGGAAAGTATAAAGCTGTACCTAACATATATGATTTTGGAACTGCAGCCCCCATAAGTCAAAATGGCATTTAGAACTGGCCTGGCTGCTCCCATAAGCACACACTGCTGTGTTTTATGAAAAATCAGCTGGAGCACTGGTAGATATGTACAGTAACTGATTTTCATAAAATACACAGTGGTATCTACCAGCATTTCTGAATCTCTTGCTGTGGAATGGCACAGTTTCATTCACTTCAAATAGGTCAGTCACACATTCTGATAAAGATGTTAATGGGTAGGAGTGGCATATTAAGCTATATCCTAGCTGTAACAGAAAGCTTTCTTTTAAATAAGGTTTTCTATGTCAAGTTCTACTGGTTAGATTTGTGATATCCAGACAAAATACATTTTCCTCAAGTAGAATTTTGTTATTGAAATGGAATGTAGCTAAAGCAGAAGTCTCAACATTTATTAAGTATGACAAGTAAGCAGTTTAGACAACTGCAGCAAACATATGTTTTCACATCTGTTTTGAGTAATATCATCATGATTTTAAAATGATTTATAGCTCTGAAAATTATAAAATGCTGGCTTTGCTATTATGTGGAAATGTTTAAAAAATGAAGAAATATCATTACAGTATGCTTCATATAGTCTGCCTCTTACCGTGCCTTGTAAAATGGGGTGACAGTGTGATACATCTCAAACGATAGTTTGCATTTTGCCTTAAATTTTCATGTGCAGGCTATGCAAAGACTTTATTATCTGGGCTTTCCTGGCAGTAATGTTGCATTAGACTGTGTGCAAAATGACTTATGACCATAACTATTTAATTTTCACTGAAAAAACTCTAGTTTGACTCAGGTGCTGTATTTTGACAATACTGCGTGCTCAGTGAAGTGAAGCCTTTGATTTTATTTTCCACAGATTTGTCAAACAAATCGACACAAAGCAAGATGCTTTTCCTTGGACAGCTTCTGGTCTCTCAAACCATTAATAACAATAGGGTCTTTTGATATTTTACATGTGATATTGAATGTGTTCACTGACACCTTCATGCTGTAGAAACACTGGAACAATATATTTATCATCTAGCCCAAAACTTGAGTCCACTGAAATGTTACATTTTAAATCAATCCACAGGCAACAGGTGAAAAGCTGAATAGTTTTAATATCTTTTGATCATAAGAATCTAAAGTATATTTCACCTTGAATATACTTTAGCATCTTCTTTCTTTCTTTCTTTCTTTCTTTCTTTCTTTCTTTCTTTCTTTCTTTCTTTCTTTCTTTCTTTCTTTCTTTCTTTCTTTCTATACACATAGGCTAGTTTCAGTTAAGAGGAGGGCTCTGGGATACATATTGATACTACAATAGTATACATATTCTGTGCTTTATAAGATGCTTCCCTTCTTTTATGTATTCCTGAGAAAACTCAGATGCTACACTACATATTTAAGACCTGGTGCTTGGAAATAATTACTGATCTTGTTAAAATGAGAAATATATCTTTTGAATATTATTTTTTGAAAAATAAAGCCATGTATTGAGCCAACTATAATGCGAACAACATTGCAAATGTACTTTATGATGAAGTTAAAATGCATCATGGTGATTTCACTTATATGTGGAATCTGAAGAACAAAATAAACACACAAAATGAAGCATGCACACAGATGCAGAGGACAGACTGCAGCTGTCAGAGGAGAGGGGGTTGAGGAGCCAGGTGAAAAAGGTGCAGGGATTAGGCAGTGTAAATTGGTCATTACAGAATAATCAGAGAGATGTAGAGAACAGCATAGGTAATATAGTTGATGATATTGTGATAACTATGTATGTGAGCAGGTGAGCACTGAAAGTGGGGTATGGGGGTGGGGAGGACCACTCTGTAAAGGACATGATTTTCTAATCACTTTGCTGTATATCGGAAACAGATACTGAATAATACTGAATGTAAAATGTAATTGAAAAATTAAAAACTACCATATGATCCAGAAATCCCACTACTGGGTATTTATGCAAAGAAAAATGAAAACACTAAATTGAAAAGATATGTGAACCCCTATGTTCAGTGCACCATTATTTACAACTGGCAAGATATAAAAAAAACCCTAGGTGGTCATCAATAGATGAATGGATAAAGAAGATGTGAGGTTATATATATATATATAATGGAATACTACTCAGCCATACAAAAAATACAATTTTGCCATTTACCACAACATAGATGCACTTTGAGGACATTATACAAAGTGAAATGAGTCAGAGAAAAACAAACACTGTATGATTTCACTTACATGTGGAATCTATAAGTAGATAAATAGATAAATAAATAAACAAACCTAACCAAATAAAACTCATAGGTACAGAGAGCAGATGGGTGGTTGCCAAAAGGGAAAGGGTTGGGGGATGGCTAAAGTGGGTGAAGAGGTACAAACTTCCAGATATAAAAGAAATACATCACGGTGGTGTCATATACAGCATGGTGACTGGTGAGTAGTACTATATTGCAAATTTGAAAGTGGCTAAGTAAATTTTAAAGGATCTCATGACAGAAAAATAATTAACACTGCATGGTGACAGATGGTGATTTTACTTGTTGTAGCAATCACTTTGTAATGTATATGAATGTTGAATCAGCATCTTGAACACCTGAAACTCATGGACCGTATCTCAGTTTCACTCCAATGAAAAAATGTAGGACCGTTCCCTCCCCATCAAGGCTGTCTCTCCTGCCATTCCTTTACCGTCCCCTCCCCACCTTCATTTCTAACTTCTGACAACCACTATTCTGTTTTCCATTTCTTTAATTCCATCATCCTAAGAATGTCAGCATGTGAGTATTTGAGATTGTTTTTTTTCACACAGCATAATTCCCTTGATATTTATCCCAATTCTTGCTTGCGTTCATAGTTTTTTTTTTTTCTGTTTTATTGCTGAGTAGTACTCCATGGTATGTATATATCCATTGTAGGAATATCATGTAAGACTTCTATGGACATTTATGTTCAGGATTTAGTTTTCATTTTTTTCTTTAATTGATTCTAGATAGAGAGGAAGGGAGGGAGACAGAGAGGAAAGAAACATGGAGTGAGAAATATCAAGATCAGTTGCCTCTTGTATGTACCCCAACTGTGTACTGAAGCTGAACCCACAACCCTGCCACATGCCCTGACTAGGAATCAAACCTTTCAGTTTGTAGGACAACACCCAACCCACTGAGCCACATCACCTAGGGCT